AGAGACAGAGAGATAGAAAGCAAGAAATCACCCCCCGGGGGGGGATGGCCACGCCACAATCCCTTCTCCTCCATTCTCCTCTCAGGATCTTGGGCATGCACGCACACATGCCCGGCATGAGTTTAAGCCACCAGGTCTGGGATTTGAACTTGACTACATGGGAGTCCAGCGACATAGCTATTACACTAACTACTGGTCCCTGTCTTTTTTATTTTTTAAAGAATTATTTAATTTCACTTTATATATTTATTTATTTATTTTAATTTGACCAGAGAGGGACAGAGAGAGAGAGCAAGAGTGAGAGAAAGAGAGAAGAAAACCAGAAAGTAAGCTGCCAGGTCTGGGATTTGAACCGTGGTCAACCATGTGCGAGTCCAGTGTCCTTAACCAACACACCACCTGCTGACCCAGTTTCTATGTCTTTTTATTCTTCTTCCTCCATTGCTGCCCTCTTTCGGGTTAAATTAATATATCCTACCGTACCTTTCTACCTGGGATTGCTCACATAACTTAAGTTCTGCCAAACGATGACTGGCCCCAGACTTAAAGCTAAGAAAGGGCAAAGGAAGTGGCAGCCTCATCCAGAGAGATCCGATTTTCAGGCAATCACAGCAGTGGAGGTGCATGATTCCTCTGGTGCAAACATGGAAGTTTCTAGCATTTAGAAATCCCTAGTATCCTAAATGCCAAACAGAAAGCAATGGTGGAAGGGGGCAGGCAGGTGGCGTGGTGGTTAAGGTACTGGACTCCCCTATGGTCAATCGTGGTTTGAGTCCTGGGCCTAGCAGCTTGCTTCCTCACTTTTCCTTTCTCTCTCTCTGTCTCTCTTTGGTCAAAGTAAAAAATGGTAATAATAATAAATAATAACAAAAATTAAACTTAATAAATAATTCTTTAAAAAAAAAAGCAATGAGAGAAGCTAAGTAGTGATGCCACAGAGAACGATAGTGTGAAGCAATCCCACATGGAAAGGGTCAAAGTTGAGGTTCAAAGACCTCTCTGAGTGCACCAGGCACATGGTTGTCCAGGATGTGGGACTGACAGAGGCTAGGGGTGGATTGTGGCATTGGGATCCTATTGACGGTTCTCTCTCTCTTGCTCTCTCTCTCTCTCTCATTCATGGAATAAATAAATAAACTTCCAAGAAGAAAGAAAGAAAGCAATAACGGAAGTGGTAAATCCTCCAGGATAAGCCCGTGGCATGGCTGGGCATTCCTCTGGTCTTTGTTGACACTGACTGTGGTGTTTTTAATTATGCAGCATCTGAGTCTGGCATAAAGCCTTCCAGGAGATTGTGCAAGCTTCCTAAGAACCTTTAATCAATTCCTTTCAGCTAGAGTAGGCGTCATTATCTACGACGAATAACTCTGCTCTATCCAGTGAAACCAAAATGAAATCCAGGAAACCGTAGACCATACTGAGGAGTGCTATAGAAAGTACTTCCAGCCAGAAAAGGGTGAGCAAAACTCAACTAGGATGCTAGAAGTCAGGATGGTGGGTGTCCTTGACAGGGAAGGGGACGTTGACTCAAAGGGTGCACAAGGGAAGAGGAATTCTGGGTGCTGATGGTGTCGGTGTTTACTGGCTGTGGTAGGCTGAGTGTGTTCTGTTGTGCACCGGTGCACGCCATACACTTACACACACTTGTCATAATGTACAGAAAACTTCAATGAATACGAAATTTTGTTTTGAAAGAGAGATGCTGGGGCCAGCAGGTGGCATGGTGGTTAAGGGTGCTGGACTCCCATGTGGCCAACCATGGTTCGAGTCCTAGACCTGGTGGCTTGCTTTTTCACTTTCCTTCTCTCTCTCTCACTCTGTCCCTCTCTGGTCAAATAAAAATAAATAAATAAAGTTAAATAAAATAATTCTTTAAAAAAAAAAGAAAGATGCTGTTTAGAGGAATTGGAGGTGGGAAGGGAAGGAGTTACAGAGAACTGCAGGACCAAATTTCTCGTGGTAATTAACTGAGACTGAAAATGAGAGAGAGACCTCAGGAAACTGCAAGAACCAAGAACTAAACTAGGGAGAACTTCCATAACAGAAGGCTACGTGATGCCTTTGTTTATGTTTATTTATTTATTTATAAGAATTATTTATTTATTTAATTCTATTTGTTATTATTATTTTAATTATTTTTATTTAACTTTATTTATTTATTTACTTGTTTTAATTTGACCAGAGAGGGACAGAGAGAGAGAGAGAAAGTGAAAAAGCGAGCTGCCAGGTCCAGGACTTGAACTGCAGTCGGTCATGTGGGAGTCCAGCACTCTTAAACACCATGCCACCTGCTGGCCCCGTGTTATTTATTTATTTTTTTTGGAGAGGTTTTCACTATAGGGCGCATGCGCTCGCCAGACAGACAGAGAGAGACATAGAGACAGAAATAGAGAAATCACCCCCCAGGGGGGGTGGTCACGCCGCAATCCCTTCTCCTCCATTCTCCTCTCAGGATCTTGGGCATGCACGCACATGTGCCCGGCGTGAGATTTAAGCCACTGGGTCCGAGACGCGAACCACGGTTGACTACATGGGAGTCCAGCGACATAGCCATTACGCTAACTGCTGGTTCCCTTATATTATTTTTTAACTTGACCAGACAGACAGAGAGAGAGAGAGAAAGAGAAAGCAAGAAAGAAAGCCTCCAGGTCTAAGTCTCAAACCGTGGTCGGTCATGTGGGAATCCAGTGTCTCTAACCACCACACCACCTGCCAGCCCCTATGTTTATTTATTTTTATTTCTTCCATGAGAGATAGTGACAGAGAAATGATCACCCCCTCCCCCTGTTTTACACCATGACAGCCCTCCTATCATCTCAATCAGCTGGAATTATGCACATGCACACACTGGCACGTACAGGGAGATTTCAGGACACAAGCCCAGGACCTTCCCATGGGGGCTTAGCATCTGCCAGGGGATGCATCACTACCAGGCCACAGCGGATGGTTGTGATGCTTTTTTTTTTTTTCCCAGTGCACTCTCTAGAGAGAGACAGAGAGAGGGGAAAAAGAGAGAGAAAGCACCTCCCCCCCATGGGGGATGGTCACACTGCAGTCTCTTCTCCCTTTCTCTTTTCGGAATTTTGGGCATGCACGCACATGTGCCTGGTGTTTTTTAAAAACTATTATCTGCATTATTTATTTTTAAAAGAGATTTTTGTTATAGGGCACATGCACTTGCCAGAGAGACAGAGACAGAAAGTGAGAAATCCCTCCCCGGGGTGGGGATGGCTATGCTACAATTCTTTCTCTTCTATTCTCCTCTTGGGATTTTGGGCACACAAGCATCCGTGGCCCAGTGTGTTTCAAGCTGCCAGGCTGGGGACTTGTAGCATAGTCGACCACACAGCAGTCCAGTGCCTTCACCACTACGCCACTTGTTGATCCCTCCTGGTGTGTTTTTCAAGCCATCAGGTCCAGGACTTGAACTCTAGGGTCTCAACCACCATGCCACCTGCCCACCCACACAATGCCTTTATGTTGGCATCCTGCCCTTCCAAGTTCTTCTCTGAATTGCATAAGCTCTGAGATACTTTTTTCTTAAGCTTTATTTCTTTCTTCTGAGAGACACATAGAGACAGTACCTTCAACAGACTGCCAACAAACACCCTGGCCCACTCGTAGCCTTTGCCCAGTCCCCTTAGTGAACAAGTGTGTGCTGGTGTAATCAGGGAGAGCTCAGAGCTTGAACTGGGACCTTTCCCCTGTGGAATTGCCTCACAGAGCATCACGACTTACTGCCATGCCACCATCTGGCCCTGGGAGTCACTTAATAGATGTTTGTGCCAGCTAGATGCCAGCCAGTTATAGTATTTTGATAGTAGACTACATAGGCTGGAGATTAGAAATGGGCAGAAGGGAGGAAGTATTCTGGTTCTGTGGTAGGTGACCCCAAGTGACCACTGGCGGCTACAGATGACCAGACTCTGGGCTTCCATCCCGACATCAGCAAATAGGGGTTATAAACAGCAGCCCAAGGGTGTTATCGGCTTCCTTTACCTCCCATCACCAGCACTAAATTTCCCTCTACCTGAAATACTTAGAATGGAGGGTTTACCAGCAAGACACAGACTGACATGTAACGCCCCCTTCAGTCTGAAACCATCAAAGCCTATTATCAATACCTATCAACACTCTCCAGAAATGGCTGATGAAGCTAATTCAAATGTTTTTCCATTGATCTAACCACTAAGGTCCCCTCCCGCGTGGAGCTGGCCCTGTCCGCACCCCACACCTGTCACCCTTCCCGTTTGAACCCCAGGGACCATCGTCAGCGTCTTGTCCTTGACCAAGTCCCTGGTGACCTTGTGGTGCTGCACTTCACATGTGTGTAGCTTCCTTCGTGCTCCCATAACTGGCCTCCATCTTGGCACACTCACAATGTACTGAACTGGCCCCGAGTGGGGGCCCGGTCAGGTGTGGGCACGGTTGATCCTTACATCTGTGCACGCTCGGCACTGATGCATTTACAGATCATTTAATAGCACCATGACGGCACCTGTAGCAGAAGCCCACAGGCAGAAATACGTTTCTGCCTAGCCCTGAGTTCCACAAAAGCCCAGTGGGGCCAGGTGGTGACACAGTGGTCACACACTGGACTCACAGGGGAAAGGCCTTGGCTTTGCACCTCAAGACTTCTCTGAGCACATGGGGCAAACACACACATGCCTCTGATCTGAGCTGGTGAAGACTGGAGGGGGTGTAGTGTAGCATAAAGACCTTGTTGGATGTACCTCTCTCTAGTGAAAAACAGAGTTGAAAAAGAAAAACAGGGTCAGCAGGTGGCATGGTGGTTAAGGTGCTGGACTCCCACATGGCTGACTGTGGTTCGAGACCTAGACCTGGCAGCTTGCTCTCTCTTTCTCTCTCTCTTTGGTGAACACACATGCCCTATAACAAAGTAAATAATAATAATAAAATAAAATTTTAAATTCTTTTTTAGGAAAATAGCTCTTTCCACACAATGTCTCCAGATGGCAACTGATGAGCGTGTGTACGTGGGCAGAATAGGAACTGAGAGGCGGGCTAAGGCCTGACAGAGACAATAGGAGGGACAGCAAAGGGGCCAGATAGTTTTAATGAGCCCAAGCACCTTCTCCTCCAGTGTCCCTCCTTCCCTCCCTCCCCACTCTTCTCCTTCAGTTCTGGACAGGTCCAGCCTGCCCTGGTCTGGATAGAGCTCCTCAGCTGGGGGCTACTTCTTCTGTCCCCTCAGCTGCTCTAGCCGCCTCTGAAGGTCTGGTGGGATTTTGGCTCCTGCTGCCAGCAGTTCTCGCAGTCTCTGTTTGGGAGTCTTGGTGAGCAGGAAATTGCAGGGGACAGGACCTTCTTCAAAGGTGACCCAGCAGCTCCGTGTTGCTGAATGGTAGCCTTCAGCACTGGCAGTCACCATGTAGTGCCCTGGGGTCAGCAGCCTCCAGTAATCCCCACCCCGTGCTGAGGGGAGTGAAGGGGAAGATCAGGGCCCAGAGATTGTCAGCTTCTGACCCAGCCTAGACCCTCCCCCTCCCTCAGCCCCTCCCCGCCACACACACCCGTTGTAACGTCATGGTTAATGCCATCTACAGCGATGACGGCATCAGCAATCCCCAGCTCTGTGTCCTTGTCCCGCACAATTCCTGCAATGCCCATGCGCACCTGTTTGAGAAAAGGTTATCAAAACTCGTTCTGCATGAGAACGTGATCTTCAGTTAACTTTTTGGGTCTGTTCCCCTACACAGCTGATAAGGGGGCTAGGTCTATGTTCCCAGGTGATAATACTTACAGTGACAAATACCTCTTGGCTGATAAATTACGTCTGGACTGACAGAACTACAAATACCTGGTTGGAAATAAAGTTTTTGGGCTTCCCCAGATCCAGAGACCTTATTACTGGGCTTGTCTTTTGAAGAACCTTTGGAAGCTAGACTGGAGCCACTACAAGGTATAGGAGTCCCAGTGGAACATTCAAAAAGCTCATGGAATGTCTGTATTATTTTAAAAAGGAAAAAAAAAAAACCAACTATGCACAGACTTCAAAATGTTTTTGTATTAAAATAAACTCATACTTTAATTCCATTTTCCATGAACTTTTTGAGGTTGTTCTTATGTGATGCTTCTGTGCCAGGGCGGTTCTTGAACTTGGGTTGGGTGAGTCTGTCTGAGAAATGCTCTGAGACAGATCAATGCACCATCACCAGGACCACCATGGGGTATACCCCTCCTGGCCCTGACAACACCTGACACTGGCCTGCTGCTTCCTGCCCTACTTCTTTCCAGGACAATCTGAAGCCAGCTATGGCATCCTGTGAGTCGGGTACAACCAGGCCATAGGACAACCCCTGGTGGGAGCTGCAAGGGAAACAGAAAGCAGGTGGCTCAGGACTGACACAGCGACCTGGGGAGTGGGGGCCCCGGATCTGACCTGCTCTAGGTAGGTGAGGAGGGCGTCTTTGTTGTTCTCCCACTCCTGGGACAGCTCGTTCTCATGCGGGAACTTGTCACAAGAGAGCTCCACAGTGATCTCAAAGCAGTTGGTGTGCAGGTAGCTGAAGTCATTCATGCCTAGGGGACCACAGACTCTGGAGCCACAGGGGTAGGATGTGAGTCCCACCTCCCAGCGCCCCACTCTGGGAGACTCTAGGGTAGGCCCGATGCCAGCACCATATGTGACAGCTGATCATCTCACGGGCAGGGATTATCAGTATGGGGCTAATCCCACCCTCGGGCACGTACTCCCAGGGACTGTGTGCCAGTCAGCCCCATTGATGACATTGCCGTGCAAGGAGAAGTCCTGGCTGTGGCAGGGTCGGCGGCCTGTGTCTTGCATGGCCCGATTGCTGCCGGCATAGACGGTGCTGAGCCAGCGAAACACGGCATCATCCGGTGTGGGTGTGAGTTCGCGAGCAGCCCACGGGGTCCGAGTCATGTCAAATGGGTAGGACACCACAAGTTCGCCCCCGTGGAGGTTGGCACTCAGCACAAAGGGGATCTGCTTCATCCACTTGATGACTGCCCGTGTTTCAGGACCCACCTGGACAGGGGCAGGTCAGGAGTGGGAGATAGACAAGGGCTCCTTGGGTGGCCCTCCCCTACCAGCCCCAGAATACTCACAGTGGCATTGGGCAACTTGTAGTACGCAGGCAGTGGCACATGATGGTTAGGGACACTGTGGGGCACCAGCCCATCATCCTCTGCATCCCACAGTGGTGTGTTGAGGTCAGCAAAATTGTGGTTAAGGTCAATGCCCTGGTAGTTCCAGCGGCCCTCTGCCCAGCCCACCAGCTCTGAGCCCTGCAAGGATAAGGGCTTGGTCAAATCAAGCAGGCTCCGGGGACCAGGATGGAAGGGGCAGAGCAGTCCTCAGCCAGATGGCCCAACCTTGCGGTAGGCGATCTCATAGCCGTCAGGGTTCATGGAGGGCAGCAGGTGGATGCGTGTCTCAGTCAGCAGCCGGGTCACCCGTGGGTCCCCTCGCAGAAACTCGTGGCACAGGAACTGCATCAGGAGCAGAAGCAGCTCCCGCCCCAGGGCCTCATTTCCGTGCATGCCGGCCACATAGCGCACCTCGGGCTCCCCTAGGAACACACCGGGGCTTGTACTGGCTCCCCCATGACCCTGCCTGTGCCCATCTCCCCAGCCCTCATGCCAGTACCCAGCTCATGCTCCCCAGGTTGGTCCGACATCTCCATCACATACAGCTTCAGGCCCTGGTGGCTCTTCCCGATGCTGTAGACGCGGGTGATGTTGGGGCACTGCTCATTCACCTTCTTCATCAGCTGGGGTGGGTGGAGCGCGACATGAGGCAGGGGAGGCTGCATCCAGGACCAGCCCACCCAGGGCCAGGCCAGGACTTACACAAGCCAGTACGGCCCACACAGATGGGGCCTCACGGCACGGTGGAGGGGGCAGCGACGGCAGACCCAGGAGGAGGGGGCCGACAAGGGGAGGTACCATAATGAGGGAAATCGGGCAGAGCTCAGGGGTCTGCAGTAGGGCACGGTGGAGGGTGGGAGGACACGCAGGCAGCCATGGCAGGTTATGCCCTGGCGGGAAGTGGACCTGAGATAGGCCCTCCTCACTAGGTCCTAAGGGTTATATCTGACCTTCCTCATTTCCTTATAATTGTGATGCCGGAAGTCCAGCATGTCGGAGGACCTCAGATTGGGGGCCTCATGGAACAGGTCATTAGGATCTGGTGGAGGGGAGTCCACGGTAAAGGGTGAGTTCACAGTGAGGGAGGCACCCTGCATTCAGGTCTGCCCATCCAGCCTCTGCCCCACTGCCCACCTGAGACCGGGCAAGCGAGGATCTCGGCCCGAAGGCAAGATGCACCCCCCTGGAGCCAGCTCTGGGGCAGCAGACGAATGAAACGGGCCACCTGGGGCTCTGGCAGGAGGTTCAGCACGGGGGTTTCTTGGTCTGAGTTGGCAGGAAATACCTGGGGGGATAAATCCTTTGCTAGGACTGCTCAAACCCAAGCAGTCTGACCGGGGACACAGGGAAGCCTCTCAGGCCTCTAAGCTCACCATGTAACCCACCCTGCGGGGCTCAGCTGGAAACACTCTGCAGTAAACAAGGAGCCCCTGCCTATGGCCCCTGCCAGTGGGTAGCTCTAGGCAACCATGCTTTCTGGCTTGGACACAGCTCATTAAACGAACATAGCCTGTGACTCCGGAACAGTCGATCCTAAAGCTGGCCAGGGCCCAGGTTTAAAAAGGGATACTTGGGACCAGCAGGTGGTATGATGGTTAAGGTGCTGGATACTCCCACATGGCCAACCACGGTTCAAGTCCTGGACCTGGTGGCTTGCTTTCTCACTTTCCCCCTCTCTCTCTCTCTGTGTCTCTGGTCAAATTAAAATAAATAAATGAATAAATAAAATTAAATAATTCTTTAAAAATAAATAAATAAATAAATAAATAAAGGGATACCTGAGGGGCTGGCAGGTGGCGTGATGATTAAAGCACGCTGGACTCCCACATGGCTAACTGTGGTTCAAGTCCCGGACCTGGTGGCTTGCTTTCTCACTTTCCCTCTCTCTCTCTCTGGTGATTGCATGTGTCCTATAGCAAATTGTTAGAAATAGTAAAAATTCTTTAAAAAAAATTTTAAAAAATGATATTAGAGATGAGAAAGGCAAACCCAGAGGAGATGAGAAGCGATGCCAGGACCAGAGGTCCCCAAACAGAAGGAGTGTCTGAGGCACCCACTCCATGGCTGAGATACCTGAAAAGGATGTGGGAGTGTCCCTAAGCAGCCTAGCTCCCCTACTTGCCTGTTGGGGGCCTCCCATACTGACAACACCCTATTTTTTCCTGGGTGCCTAAGTGGGCATCTATTCCTGTCCTCAGAGAAGCTTCAGCCCAGCTGAGCACCCTACGTTGGGCAGGGCGCCCATCTCCGGCACTGCAGGTGCCAGCCGCCATAGGACCACTCACCGCATCCATCCCACTGCTGCGGTTTCTACTCCCCCACCAACTGCGACTGTCATTGCTGAACTGGACCTTGTATGACGTGACCCAGTCATACCTGGCAGGAGAGGCAGGAAGAGGTCCTCAGTGTCTCCCAACCCAGTGCTCCTGGGCCCACCCATGACTTCCAGTTCAGGGCCAGCCTGCCTCACCTCCAGACAGAGTTCCTGCCCTGTGTGATCACGCCTGAGAAGCGGGTGGTGCGCCCAGCGTCCACCTGGAACCACGGCTCAGCGTCCTGCTGCTCGGCACACCAGGCCCCATCATAGAGGTCACCATCCTCCAGGCCTGACTGCGGTTACAGGGAATAGTGATCAGGCCCAGCTGGGCAGAGTGTGGTAGGCCTGGACAAGCAGGAGGCAGGGGAGAAGGTTCCCTGGTACCCCTGAGAGCCGCACTCTGAGCCAGGGCTGCTAACCTGGATGTTGAGCCGACCCCGGTGAGGTCCAAGACCGAAGGACTGGCTGCTGGAGGCCTCGAGCTGGTGATCTGAAACTCGCAGGGACTCCAGGCCCAGTGGGGGACAGCCTGGGGCAGGGACAGAGTAGTGAGACAGGACCAGAGAGATGGTGCTCAGGCAGGTGGGAAGCTGTTCCTAAGCTTGGTTGCAGGCTGGGCAGACAGGAGGTTGCCTCTGCCCATGAGCTCTATTGGTAAGGGCCCCAGGGGCTGTGAGTCTGGGCAGGGCCCTGGGGGAGGTAGTACCTGGTTCTGACTTCTCAGAGAGGCTGACTGTCCCTGCTGGGCTGGTTGTCACCAGAGGCCTAGCAGTCGCCGAGGGACTGAGATAAGTTGGTTTCTTTCGCTTCTTCACAATAACCTTTTTCTTCACAATGACCTTTTTCTTCTTGATGTTGTGAGACCAGATGTGCTGTTCTGAGGTCCCTGGGGACAGGGAGGTAGGGCATTGGAGAGGGAAGAATGACATAAAACCACACCTAGAAAGCTCTGCCAGCCAGGAAGGCCAGCAAGCCCATGGCTTTCCCACCAGAAATATCTAAGGGTCTTCGAGTGGCATTAAAGGCTTATACCGTCTGACACTAACCTGCCTCTCCAGCCACACTTCCTAGCTCTCCCTTCTCCTTCCTGACATGACCAGGTATCTGGCCAGCTTCACCTCTCTGACCCTCCAACCCAGTGAAGAGTTATACCCAGCCACTAGGAACTGTGGGGTTTTTTTCCTTTTTTTTTAGAGAGAGAATTTTGCTATAGGGTGTCCATGCCTATGGAACGCACCCAGCGTGATTTTGAAGCCACCGGGTCTAGTACTTGAACTGTGGTCCGCCATGTGGGAGTCCAGCAACCTAATCGTTATGCCATCTGCTGGTCCGAGCCACTAGGAACTGTGGTTGCTCCAAAGAGCCGAGTCTGGTTCTTACCTCTGGACCTTTGTACTAGCTGTCCTCTCTCCTGTAACACCATTCACCACTTCTGGGTTCTACTCATTTATTTACTTCCTTAAGTCCCCGTTTTCCCTTCACATATCAGCCCAGATGCCCACTGGGGAGGCTCCCTTTGTGCCAGACTAGGTCTCAGGTTCCGAAGCTCCTGAGCCACCTCCGTTTTTACGTCTGCCCTCTCGGCTGAGACGTCCTGCCCTGGAATCCACGCTGAGCTGAGTGCTGAGGATTTCTAGCGCAGGGCCTGCCTGTGCGCCCTTTAGACAGAACCCTGCTCAGAGGGCTGGCGCTGCGAGCACCCCACCCGGTGCAGCGCCACAGACGACTCCCGGTCGGGCGCACATGTCAGGGCGCTGTCCTGTGCCTCTGCACATACTGCTTCTTTCCTGGGCGCCCTCTCTTCAGCTCTCCTGACTCAGACATTCTCACTCTCCAGGACCCGGTTTTACCTGCCGCCTCTGGAAGCGCCCGACTGCCGCTCTATCCCTTCCTTCTCTGTGTCTCCCCGTGGCTGAGAAGTAAGGAGGCCAAGCAGCCTTCCTGCCCCGCTCAGGACAGTGCCCCATTCCTGCAGGCAGCGCCAAAGAGCCGCTTAGTTCTCACCCGGGACCTTTGCTCTAGCTGTCCCCCGTCCCCGTAAGCACCAGTCATCGCTTTCCATTTTTTCCCCTTTGCATCGCAGCAAAGCACGCTCTCTCCCTTCCTTTTGTTCTTTTCCTCCAGCCCTGGCCGCAAACTCTGAGCAATCTTGCTCTGCATCTTTCTTTTGCTTCTCCAGGCTCTGGCCTCGGTTTTATCATCTGTAGGGGAGGTTTGAGGTTGGAAGAGGCAGCCTCCTCCTGGCGCCGGTTCTTGGACGGCTGAGTTGGTGAGGTCAGGAACCAGGGCTGCTGACTCAGCAGCCTTTTCGCGGGGCTGGGAGTGTGAGTGTGTGTGTCTGTGTGTGTGTGTGTGTGTGCGTGCGCGCGTGTTGAGGAAGGATCACCACACGGAGCAGGGAAGTGGGGTAACCGACTTGCCCTAGAAGTGGGCCCTCGGTCCGGGCGCTCACCGTTAGCTTTCTTCGCGGGCTGCTGTGCAGGGCTCCTACGCAGGGCCGGCGTCGAGCTCGGGGCCTCGGTGGTCGCGGGCGACGAAAGACCGAGCACCGAGGGGCTCGGCGTCCCCACACTCTGGTCGACCACCGGGGCAAAAGCGGTTAAGGCGAGCAGGATCCCCCACATGGCGCGGAACGAGAGAGAGGACGCGCGCGGCTCGCGGCGGTCGGTGGGTTTGCTTCTTCCTGCTGGTGCTCTGCAGCCCCCCGCCCCTTCCTGCCCGCCCCGCCGTCCCCCCCCGCCCCTCTGCAAACTCCGGCCCGCCCACAGCCGGCTCGGAGGCCTCGGACCTTGTTGGAAAGGGTAGGACCTGGGCGGAGCGAGCGGCTGACCCCCGAGGGCTGCAGAGTGAGGCCGGGCGGTCCCGGATCTCCGTACCCACCGATCCTGTCCCTCCCTCTTCCACCGTCCGAGCTAATCAGCCTCACTCCTGCGCTTAGCGTGGCAAAGCCATACTTAACCCTGCAAGGCGCCCGTCTCAAGGCGAGCACCCACTTTGCACCTTGCACGGTGCCAGGCGCTTTACACGTGGTCTCTCCATCCAAACTCGTTCCCCAAGCTGGTAAACCGAGGTTCAGAGAGGCTAACTGACTTCTCAAAGCTGAGAACCTTAACTAGGAAACTACAACCCAAGAGGGAAGATCTCAGAGCCAGAGGTTCCCCTGCTAGGGCGCATGGGACAGAAGGGAGAAAAGGAAGGGAAACTGAGGCGAGGGACGGGGCGCGGGGGAGAAAGCTGGTTCCCAGAAGTCCTTCTGAAAGACAATCCAAGTGGCCCAACCAGAAGTGGTGCTTAGCACCCCACCCACCCCCCCTACCCCGGCCCCGCCTCTCCCCTCTCCTCCTTTCCTCCCCTCCTACTCCTTGCTTGCCGGCTGCCACGTTCCGGGGTTACATAACCAGAGGAGAGAAGCCTGAGCCGATACCCAGAGGGCTGGGGCTGGGGGTAGGGACCAAGCTAGAAGCGCGCCCAATCCTCTCCCTCCATCGTCTGCCCCGCATGTATTCCCTTGGGGGAACCGGCAGGCCTGGGTCTCTATTCGCCGGACTGCCCCAGATCCCGGGATTCCAGGTTTCGAGCCCCTTCCCATCCCCCGCTCAGGCCCCCCTTGGATCCCTCACGCCTGGATCACCTCCCCAGAGAGCAAACACGTCCACTGTGCGCCTTTGGCCTGCGTTCAGCCTTTGCAGGGAGTCAACCAAGGAGATGCTGCCATCCTCATGAGAGGAGAGGCCGTGTCCAGAAGTGGCCAGGCGTTCTCTGAAGTGCGCAGACCTGAGCAAATATTTTTTGCAAAGTCACTATTTATATAAACCATTTGATAGCCCCGGATTCGTGAGTGAGTAAGTACCATTGTGGCGCCAACGTTCGCTCGAAGTCTCAAAAGAAATGCCGCCAAGCTCCTGTAAAGGAGGTCCACCGCTCGCAGGGCCCTCTATGGGCGCAGGTGCTGGACCTTCTCGAGGCATCTTGTCCACACCGAGCGCTCTGGATAGAGGGCAGGAGACCTCCCGGAAAGGAGTAACCAGATAAGGTCCAAACGCGTTGGAATCTTCCCTTGGAGAGTCCTGCCTAGACGGCGTGGTCATGTGCTAGGCACAAGAAGAGAAAGCAGAAAAATTCAAAGAACATGTTCCAAAGCCGGGGTTCCCTGAGTGCTGGCGGGGCCGCGGGACAGTATGGCAGGCTGAAGCTTCTAGAGGATGGGAAGCCTCTGTCTCCTGCCAAAGCCCAATCTAGCCAAATCTGGTTCTCTGGCCCCTACCCTCATCCAAGTCTCCCAGAGAGATGATGGGGAAGAGGAGGCACAGGGGGCAGAAGCAGCACAGGACATTCAGCTTCCTGAGGTTTCCACACCCTCCCAGTCAATCCCCACCCAGCAGCCAAATTGTGTCAGGTTCCTCCTGGTTTAAGTCCCCACCCAGCAGGCTCACCTACAAGGCCCTTCATTACCAAGTTCCCTCCTATCCACACCTTTGCCATCTCCCCAGCTCCTACCCCTCCAGCCTTGCTGGCGTTCTAGCTGTTCCTTCAGTGCACCAGCCCAGACCAGCCTCCCAGCCTTTGCACTTAAGTTTGTGTTCTCATCATTCAGATTTCCTTTCAATGTCACTCGCTCCTAAAGATTTTTCTGACCACTCTGGTTAGAGTAAGCTCTTTCACTCTATACACTCTCCTTTCACTTTGCCTTATTACTGTCTTCAAGGCACTCTGGTTTTATTTATGTGTTCACAGTCATGGCCCTAACCTCCAGAAGAGCCTTTGGCCCCAAATGTGTATAGTTGCCCCTAAGGGCCTAGAATAGTGCCCGTCTGTACTTGAAAGGCACTGTGTAATGTATTCTAAGGGCCAGCCGGTGGCGTGGAGGTTAAGGTGCCAGATCCCATATGGCTGACTCCATAGTTCAAGTCCCGGACCTGGTGGCATGAAAACCACATCAGGCACATGTGCATGCGTGCCCAAAATCCCAAGAGGAGAATGATGGAGCAGGGGTTGCAGCATGGCCACCCCCCCTGCAGGGTGATTTCTCACTCTCCTCTATCTCTCTCTGGTGAGTGCAGATGCCTACAGCAAAATTAAATGTGTGTATATACATACATAGATATATTCTAAGTTAGAGGGGTTCAAGCAGGGCTGGAGGGAAGCTGACCCTTTCCAAAGCACCAGGTTTTTCAGGAGAAGAGATGGCGGGTTGTGAACTGAAAGGATCCCAAAGGCATCAGAGTGGGGCAGGGCAGTTGGCTCCCTCCTGCCAATCCCTTATGAAGAGGAATCTCAGGATGTTGGACTTCAGGACCAGCAAATAGTGCAATGATTATGTCACTGAACTCTCTCTCGAGTTCCGAGTTCCGGGCCCTGTGGTTTAAAAACTCGCGGCGGTCGCATGTGCATGTGTGCCCAAGAATGAAGAAAGGCTTGTGGTGTGGCCATCTCCCTAGGGGGTGATTTCTAACTTTCTGTCTCTCTGTCTGGCAAGTGCACACGCCCTATAGAAAAAAATTTTTCTCAAAAAAAAAAAAAAAGATGCTCAACCTTGTGACCTGGCGTCCCCAGTGCTCCAGAAACCCCTTCCCTTCACTCTCGCCTCTCTGCCCTGTTGCAAGCCGTAGGGCCCGTTTGTGCCCACTATGCCACCTGCATTCCTCAGCACCTTCTCTCACTCCTCTGCACTCAGCCTAACCACAGCCGCTGGTCTGTGCACTGAGAACTTGGAGAAGTTCAAGTTCAAAGTCCTGAAGCAAGTTCTAGTGGCTTCCAGGGATAGTGGCAGATATATACACCCAGGATCTGGACAGGTCTCCCCAGGAGCCAGGTACAGGATCGTCTATGGTCTCGCTGAGACCAGAGTGTGTTACAAAGTGCAACGGAACAGGTAGGGATAGCTGTTCAAAGGAGATTTTTTTTTTGCTGTAAGGTACATGCGCTTGCCAGAGAGACAGAAACAGAAAAAAAAAAAGTGAGAAATCACCCTCCAGGGTGAATGGCCACACTGCAATCCCTTTTCCTCTATTTTCCTCTCAGGATTTTGGGCACACACAGAGATGTACCCAGCGTGATTTTCAAACCACCAGGTCTGGAACTAGAACTGCGGTTTGTCATGGGGGAATCCAGTGCTATAATCACGCTACCTGCTGGCCTCTCAAAGAGAATTTAAATTTAAGGAATGCCTGTACTCTGATACAGTAAAACGGCTGAGGGTGGAGAGAATAGGTGACTTAGGTCATCTAAGGTGCCACGCAGGTTTTATTTCACATCCCACTTGTTGTTTTCTGTTTTGTTTTGTTGAGAGGTTTTTTTTTCCTACAGGGTGCGTGCGCTTGCCAGAAAGACAGAAATAGAGAGAAAGCAAGAAATCTCCCTCCAGCGGGGATGTCCATGCTGCAATCCCTTCTCCTCCATTCTCCTCTTGGGATCGTGGGTACACACACATGCCCAGCATGAGTTTAAGCCACCAGGTCTGGGACTCGAACCGCAGTCGACTACATGGGAGTCCAGCGACGTAGCCATTATGCCAGCGGCTGGTCTCCCTGTATTTCACATCCCACTTCTGCCATTTATTTTGTTTGAATATTCTGGGGCTGTAGTTTTACCTTTTTGAGACTCAGTTCCCTCATCTGTAAAATGGAAACCATACCTTTCTCCCAGGGTTACTGTGGTAATAAAGTGAGGTATGTGATCCTAGGACACCCCTAGATTAATCAGGTGAATTAAAGGTGGAGAAATAGTCTAACACAGCCCTCCAGATATAGGTAGAATAGAGCAACATTAAGGGAAGAAAAGGACGCTACGTGTCACACTGCAAATAAGGAAGTCAGAATCTACTTCTGCCTGTGCCGCCTAATCTCGTCCCGGGTGCTAAGGTAGAATCATTCCGTGAGGTGCTCCCACTGTGAGCTGAGAGAGTATTCATAAGGACACTCATGTCACCTGGAGGCACGGGGTGGCATCTCCTCACGTGCCCATCCTTCCCTCGCCACTGCCTCCGCTAGCTGTCTCTCTTTGGTACATCAATGTCTTTGAGAGTCTCGCTCCTCTATGTACCACTGAGGACCAAGGCATTGGCATCCCCTGGGAACTTGTTTGAAATTGAGAATTTCTGTCCCAGACCTACTGAGTTGGAATCTGCATTTTAACAAGATCCCCAGAGGATTTGACCCCAGGAGAGTCATATGCACATGAAAGGCGAAGACGCACTGTATGGAGGTGTAGAACCCCTGCATCTGAGATACATGAAATTCACAACTCTCTGAGTTTGATGGTGTCTGATGCTGTCACTGGAAATTGTACCGTAAGATATAAGAAGAGTATGTCCACATATCACTAGAAAACTGTCTTTCATTCCTTCTGGAAGGGTATATGACTGAGCCCCACAGCATGGCCCACTATGGATTTTTGTCATTAAATCATTTTCATGAAAATACTACACAGTAATTTTAAAGGCAAATCACCTTTGGCTTCTTCTTTTTTTTTTTTTTAAAGATTATGAATTTTCTTTTTTTAAGGAATTAATTATTTAACTTTATTTATTCATTCATTTTTAATTTGATGAGAGAGAGACAGAGAGAAGGTGAGAAAGCAAGCCACCAGGTCTGGGACTTGAACCGTGGTTGGTCATATGGGAGTGTCCAGCACCTTAACCACCACGCCACCTGCTGGTACCCCCACCTTTTGGCTTCTAACAAGACACTCTTCTCCATACTTTCCCACTCACAAGTCAACTACTTTGAATTCTTTTTGTTATTTCTCTTTGTATTTATCTCTATGCTTGTGTTGCCCTTTTTTTTTTCTTTTTTTTTTTCTTTTCCTATTTAGATGTCACCCACTGATTTCCTGCTATGGGATGAGGGATTTAGTTTTCCTACCACTCACCCCCCCACACACATACACAACCAGTACACAAACATATATTTCCCCTCTTTCCATCCTCCCAATAAAGTTAAATCACCATTGGAATCGATAGTTAGTGCTTTCATTATGACCATGTCAATGTTATTGTCCAACTTCTTGCACTTCCTAGAGTTACAAACTACAATATCATTTGCTTAGTTTTTTAGACACCAATCACTTATTCAATCTTAAAGTTTTCAACAGAACTTAACATTTATTCTGATTATATTTAAGCAGAGCTGATAATCAATTGATTTCATTTACCTCTGGAGACATTCTTCTTTAAGGACCTGTCACCTGGTTCCAGGTTGCTTTCTTCACTGAGGGTTGGGGGAACGTATCTTGTGGAGAGCAGCCAATCTGAAAACATGTGATTAAAACATGTGGCCTGTAGACACATGCAGAAATGTGCTTCTAAGCTATTCTAGCAGGGCTATTGAGAAACATCTACATACGAAAGCAGTATCTACCTGTTGTCAATGGTTGTCTTCCTGTTGTTGTTGATAACTGATACTGCCCAGTATCAGGCTAAAGGAAATCACATGCGTTTATCAGATTGTCCCCCCAAAAAGGTCAGAGAGATTATATGGCGCCAGTCATTTTCACATCTTCAGACGATTTACATCCAAAAACCACCGGCTTTGCATTCCGACTTCTCCTCCCTTAATCTCCTTGCATTCCACTTCCTTCTTCCCCATTTCTTTTGCGTCCCATTTTCTCCTTCTCCCATTTTCTGCCCTTTAAAAGAATAAACCTGAGGCTGGCTCTGGGCACAACTTCTCCATCAGAGAAGCTGTGCCCACCCAATCCTTGCTTTTCTATACTTGTGTGTCTTTGTGTGTTTGTTACTGCGTCTATTTCTAATCCACAGGCTTCCCCACTCAGAAAAATGTGTTCATGCCGAGCTGGTCCCGGCAACATCTAATATCCAGGTCTTTCTCATGATCTCTTTCCTCTGTTTAGTCTCATTTCTCCAATGCCATATTATCCTATTTCTTAGTTTAATTTCTTGTTTTGCTAAAGCACATACTCTAAGACAGAGTGTATGAAAGGTCAAATTTTTCAGAAATTGTATGGCTGAAAATGTCATCATTCTACCCTCAAACTTGATAACTATTTAGACAGATACATGTTTCTAGTTTGGAAATCATTTCCCCTCAGAATTCTGAAGGCATTGTTTTATTGTCTTCTAGCTACTCTAATAGTGTTAGTGTTTAAAAGTCTAATATTCCTACTTCTAGACTTACGTATGTGATCTTTTTCTTTTTAGAAACTCCTTAGGAATATCTATTTACCCATGATAACTTCAATTTCATTATGTACCTTGGTGTCGACTCTTTTTCATTTATTGTGTTATGAACTAGTGGAATCTTATCATGTAGAAACATATTTTTCAGTTCTGAAAGTTTCCTTTTTTTTTTTTTTTTTTGGAGAGGTTCTTGCTATAGGGCACGTGCGCTCACCAGACAGACAGAGAGAGACAGAGAGACAGAAGGCGAGAAATCACCCCCCAGGGGAGATGGCCACACTGCAATCCCTTCTCCTCCATTCTCCTCTCGGGATCTTGGGCACACACGCACACGCACCTGGCGTGGTGAGTTTTAAGCCACCGGGTCTGGGATGTGAACCGCAGTCAACTACGTGAGAGTCCAGCGACATAGCCATTACGCTAACTGCTGGTCCCCAAAGTTTCTTGATTTTTAAAAAGTTGCCCCTTCTTTTTCTCTATTCCAATTTTCTAAATTATCATTATTCAAATACTGGCCCTTTAATTTTACTGACTTTTTCTTTTCTTTCTTTTTTTTTTTCTTCGTGTACTTCAGTTATTTTACTTTCTGGAAGATGTCCTCAACAACTCCTCAGGAATTGGCTCCATCATTAAGAAATTCCATTGGTGAGACCAGCCAATGATATAATGGTTATGTCACTATACTCCCATATAGTTGACCACAGTTTGAGTCCCAGACCCAGTAACTTAAAACTCACGCCAGTGTGTATGTGTGTGTGTGTGTGTGCCCAAAATCTCGAGAGGAGAATGGAGGAGAAGGGATTGTGGCATGGCCATCCCCACGAAGGGTGATTTCTCACTTTCTATTTCTCTGTCTCTATCTCTACAGCGAGTGCATGTGCCCTATAGCAAAGATCTCTCTTCTCTCTCTCAAAAAAAAAAGAAAGTCCATTGGTAACTTTTACTTCCAGCAACTGATCATAATGCAGCTGCAGTCCTACATTGTAGGTAACCAAGTGACCACCCAGGGATCAAATACTCACCAACTCCCATCTTCTCATCATTCCTTTTCTCTCTGCTGCTTTTAAAAATGTATTTACCTAGGGAGCCAGCAGTTAGCGTAATGGCTATGTCACTGGACTCCCACGTAGTCGACCGCGGTTCGCGTCTCGGACCCGGTGGCTTAAAACTCACGCCGGGCATGTGTGTGTGCATGCCCAAGATCCCGAGAGGAGAATGGAGGAGAAGGGATTATGGCGTGACCATCCCCCCTGGGGGGTGATTTCTTGCTTTCTGTCTCTATGTCTCTCTCTGTCTGGCGAGCGCACGTGCCCTATAGCAAAAATCTCTCCAAAAAAAAAAAGTATTTACCTGTAGGTTTCATAGCAGAGAGCGCACACATGAGTCAATGACCCTGACAGGGTCTTACTATGCCATGATCCACTCCCTAGATTTCCAGCCAGCCAGAATCATGGGTACACCTGTGGGTACACCAACTGTTTTCAAGTCAACCTGGAATTTGGACCTGGACCTTTCCATGTGGCTCCAGTGTCCCATGCAGCAGTGTCCCATCACCTGTACCACTGCAGCTGGGCCTCATCCTTTCTTTTCATAAATCATGCTTTCACCATATTTCACTGAGTCAGGGTTGTTCTAGTGATTCCACTTCTGACACCAACTTTTTAGGGGTACCAAAAACATGGTTCACTAAGACTCACAGAACTCAGCAAAGCAGTTATACTCATGGTTACAGTTTATTACAGAGAAAGGAAACAGATTAAAAGCAACAATAGAAAAAAGTACACAGGACAAAGTTCAGGAAACACGAAGAACAAGCTCCTAGTTATGCCCTGGAAGTGGAGTTATGTGGTTTGTACCAAATTCTCCCAGCATGCCGTGTGACAATGTGCACGGAGTACTGCCAACAAGGGACGTTCCTTGGAACCTTAGTGTCCAAGGATTTTATTAGAGTCAGTTATGTACAAGCGGTCAATTGCCCATGGGACTGACCTGAGTTCAACCCCTTTACAGGTCAAGCTGCTACCTCATGATCCAAGGACCCTGACATAAATCAAGTGTTAGCATAGACTGTCTGATCTGGCCCAAGACTCCCAGATGTACAAAAACACTATTCTTTTTAACTAGAGATTTTTGCTATAGGATGTGTATGCTCCTAGAGAGACAGAAAGGAAGAAATCACCCCTAGAAGGAGATGACCACACTGCAATACTTTCTCCTCCATTCTCCTCTCAGGATTTTGGGCACGCATGCACACGCACCCAGCATGAGTTTCAATCCTCTGGGTCCAGGACTCAAACCAAAGTCGATCATTTGGAAGTCCAGTACCTTAACCACTTTGCCACCTGCTGGCCCCAAACACATTATTATTAGGCAGTATATTTCAAGGACTTAAGAGGTAATTTTTCAGGAGCCCACCATGGGCCAAAACATTCTTTCAAATATGGAATAGATGGTCCAGCAGGTGGCATGGTGGCTGGGGACACTGGACTCCCACATGGTCAACCGTGGCTCAAGTCCTGGACATGGCGGACTTGCTTTCTCACTTTCCCAATTTCTCTCTCACTCTGGTCCTCTCTGGTTAAACTGAAATAAAGAAATAAAGTTAAATAAAAAATAATTCTCTTAAAAAACTGGAATAGAGAAAAAGAAGGGGCAACTTTTTAAATATCAAGAAACTTTCAGAACTGAAAAATATGTTTCTACAAGGTGAGATTTAGACAACCTAGACTTGCTGAGTTTTTTACTGGGTGATACTGCAGTATCGTGCCTCACTGAGATCCCCTTTCCTGACTTGTGTCCCTGTCCTGAGGATATGTTCATGTTTCATAGATCATACCCATCTGCTCTCTTCTCCAAATACCCTCAGCTGATAGGAACAGCCTCACTGAGGTGACATTTCTTCAGCCACCACCTTCCTCTTCCCATCAGGGATGAGTCACAGCCTATGACTGACACAGAAATACATGATGGGACCAATTCTGGTACAATTCCCTTGCAGAGCAACTGTTGGGTTAGGCTTAAGCTAGACTCCAGCCAAGATCACTCCAGCCAGGACCACTTCCTAGCTTAGCTCTTTTCCCTTCCCTGTCCTGCTTCCCTTCCCTCACTTCCCTGAAATTTTTCTTCCTGAGAGCACTCCCTTGATAACTCATAGGGACAGGAATCCCCATCTCAGGCTCTGCTTCTAGGAATTATAACCCAGCATCTGGTTCCATCGGAAGTACTTAACTATTGCCAAATGAAAAATAAACTCTGAGAAAGTTGGAGACAGAAACCAGCCCAGGCCTGAGAGATAACCCAGAAGGGAAGAACACAGAAGGAAGTTGAAAGCAACCCCATTCCCAGAAGGAAAGCCCCAGGGACTGCACAGTCAACTGGATGGAACTCCAGGCATGGGCTGTATCTCACGATGTTGGGTGACATTCCTCAAGCCAGATATTGTCTAAATACTATGTTAATGAGAGCTCTTGATCTTGTACCAGGAATATAAGCCTATAAATAATGTCTTGTATATTGTACACTGTTCTCTATCATTAAACTCACCCACCGCTTATCTGATTTCATTTGGAATAAACGGGCTCTGCTCTGGAGCGGTTTTGCTTCTGCTCCAAGAGAACTTTAGTCCCCTGCTTTAACCTTTTCCTCGTCTCTTTTCTCAATCTTTCATGACACCCTACCTTCAAGCCCTGATTTTCTCACACTGAGGAAATCCTAAAATAGAGCTCTCCTGTAAATGTATGCAGAGCACATGGTGCATGGTAAATCCTTCCAGAGAAAAAAATCGTCACTTCCATTCCCCTGCCCCCTGCACTATGAAGTAGCCTTATCTTGGTGGAATGACCATGATGTTACCCTCAGTTCTGTGTGTCCTGAATGGCAATCTCGAAGATGCATCCAGAATTGATCAGGTTCAGGGGACTGGCAATCTTAAGCCTTTAATTTGCTTATGTGCAAAGACAACTAGTTACTAAATAGACAAGAAGAACCAGGGGACATGCCTGTAGCACAGTGCCTTAATTAGGGGTTCACTATGTATAGCCTCCTCAGGTTCATCTCCTACATGGGGAGCAGTATACCATATGACTGGCTGCAATTTGAATCCCAACCCTGCTAGCTTGAAAAACACACCAGGAGGGAACCAGCAGTTAGCGTAATGGCTATGTCACTGGACTCCCACATAGTCGACCGCAGTTCGTGTCCCGGACCTGGTGGCTTAAAACTCATGCCGGGCGTGTGTGCGTGCATGCCCAAGATCCCGAGAGGAGAATGGAGGAGAAGGGATTGTGGTGTGACCATCCCCCCTGGGGGGGTGATTTCTCGCTCTCTGTCTCTCTGTCTCTGTCTGTCTGGTGAGCGCATGCTCCCTATAGCGAAAACCTCTCCAAAACAACAAAACAAAACAAAACAAAACAAAACACAACTCCAGCATGTTCTCATTCCTTCTAAATCATTTATCACTGCAATACCTTGTAAGATACAATGTAGCATGATTATCATCATCCCTTCCTTTGTCTTCATTCCCACATGCCCACCTGATTTTTTGTTTTCCTTAATAATAAACTTTGAAAAATTAGTGAATTATCTCATGGGCTGGTGGTATTAGGCCTACAGACTGTCGGGGCCATCACCACCGAAGAGATCAAGGTCAGCAGGTCTGAGTCTTTGGGCAGGGCCAGCTGGAAGCAGATATGCAGCCTGATTTTTTGTTTTTTTTTCTTTCTTTCTTTCTTTTTGGAGAGGTTTTTGCTATAGGGCGCGTGCGCTCGCCAGACAGAGAGAGACAGAGAGATAGAAAGCAAGAAATCACATGCTATAGAGTGCGTGAGCTCGCCAGACAGACAGAGAGAGACATAGAGACAGAAAGCGAGAAATCGCCCCCCGGGGGGATGGCCACACCGCAATCCCTTCTACTCCATTCTCCTCTCGGGATCTTGGGCATGTACGCACATGTGCCCGGCGTGAGTTTAAGCCACCGGGTCTGGGACTCGAACCACGGTCAACTACGTGGGAGTCCAGCGACATAGCCATTATGCTAACTGCTGGTCCCTCTTTTTTTTTTTTTTCTGGAGAGGTTTTTGCTATAGAGTGCGTGAGCTCGCCAGACAGACAGAGAGAGACATAGAGACAGAAAGCGAGAAATCGCCCCCCGGGGGGATGGCCACACCGCAATCCCTTCTACTCCATTCTCCTCTCAGAATCTTGGGCATGCACACACACGTGCCCAGCATGAGTTTAAGCCACTGGGTCTGGGACTCGAATCATGGTCAACTACGTGGGAGTCCAGCAAGGTGGCCATTACGCTAACTGCTAGTCCCAGCAGCCTGATTCTTGTTCAATATCCTCCTCCCCTAGGGCTAGATGGCTGCCGTCTCCCCTGTCCCCAGTTTCCTTTCAAAGGATAATCAGAGAGAGAGAGAGAGAGAGAGAGAGAAGTATACCTGCCAGGGTCTCACCTTGGAAATAAGGATTAAGTTCTCTTATTTATGACTCATTTCTGCTCTTTTTTTAGAGGGTTTTTAGAGAGAGACAGAGACAGTGAGAGGGAAAGTGAGAAATCACATCCCTAGAGGAGTTAGACATGCTGCAGTCCCTTCTCTTCCATTCTCCTCCATGGATCTTGGGCATACACGCTTATGTACCTGGAGTGATTTTCAAGCCACTGGTCGGGACTTGAACTGCAGTTGGCCATGTGGCAGTCCAATGACATAACCACTACGCCATCTGCTGGCCCCCTCCTTTGCACTCTTGTCCATCAGGTCACTGAACTGAAATATGCTGTAACCTCTGTAGCCACCACCCACTTACAAATTATCATTAGGATAGGTTTCTTTCCAGGTGACGAAGTCCTTCACCACATATTCATTTTCCTTAATCATATTCTGAGGTAACCTTAATTTGGGGTTTGCTATGTTATAGCCACCCCCACCATATCCTCTACCCCATTTCTGGAACCTTTATCTCCATAACACCTCCTACAGATGAGTCCTTAGAACACCTCAATGGTCCCCTCCTGTCCCTGCCCCATTGAGCAGGTCAAGTGCAGTCCAGCCCTAGATGCCTCCGGTTGCATCCTAGAAGAGCCTATCTCTGCATTCTGGGGCTGCAGTCCTGAAACACCCCATGTCATAAGGGCCCACAGGCATCACCCCACTCAGGGAAGAGAGCTGGAGACAGAGAGATTGAATGACCTGCCCCTGGATACACAGCTCTGAACACTCAGGAAGAAAGCAGCGCTTCCTCCCTTGGACAGCTGCCCAAGTACGGATGGGGTTAGAATGCCTTCTTAATAACTCAGATTCCCCCATGGGAGAACCACGGGGCTGAGAATTAGAAGGAGGAGTCTCAGTTCTCAGAAACTGCAGACTTCCCAGCTGAGCTCCACCTGGGCTACTAGCTGCTGATGAGCCAGGCCGCCCTCCAGGGCTCCACCTAGCAACAGGTCACAATGCCCCAGGGACCCAGTCCCAGAATGACTGACCAAAGGGGGAGGAGGTGAGGGGGGGCTTGTGGGTGGGTGTTGGGGGGAGGGGGAGATTCCCAACAAGCCCAGTTCCTCACTGAGCTCACCCTTGAATGCCTGCCAGGGCCCTACACCCCCCCACCCCGGCCCAGGCCCCCACACTCCATTCTCCCTACTAACACTAGTTCTTCTGTCCCCTCCACCTACCTCCATGACCCAGCTCTGCTCACCCAGACACAAAGCTTTTGCAAATCCCATCCCAGCCCCTCCCAGGGGCCTGGGTACTGGGGAGGGGGCAGGCGGTGCAGTGCAACCATGGGTGTTCCCCTGGGACCCTAGCCGGGCCCAGTTCCTGGACAGTGTCCTAGGGCTGGGGGTACTGGGGCTGGCAATCCGGACGATCTTCTCTGTGGCAGGCCCAGCCCTGCTATCGCTGCTGGTGCTGCTACTGGTTTGTTTCCTCACCTTCGACCTGCTCCACAGGTCAGTGGGCAGCAGCCTGGCAGCCCGGCGCTGTAGGCAAGTGGGAGGATGATCAGCTTCTGTAATTCACTGCCCTCTCTCCACAGGCCCACGCCTCCTGCCCAGCCACAACACAGACTGCTCGCAACGCGCCAGAGTCAGGGGGCCGGCGAGGGTCCAGGACAGCGGGCGGCCCTGCTCCTACCTACAGGGACAGTCACAGGACAACCTGGCCTCCGGGATGTGATGCTGCTGCTGCTTATGGGCCTGGGGCTGCTCCTGGGAGCTCATGGCATGGCCGCAGCTCCATTTGGCCTGGCTCTCTGCCTCCATCTCTGGGCCTGAGCACCCCTTCCCCAAGCACCGAGTGCCCTCCAGAACTACACTGGCCATCCTGCTCCCTTAGGCTTCTTGTCTCTGTTCTGAGCTGGGCAGGTGAGAGCACACCCCTTTATTCCAAGCCAGGAGCTCTCTGGCCCTATAGTATGGGCAGTGGATACCTGGTCTGAGTCCTGGGTCAGCAAGAGAAGGCAGGACACTTAAGGGAGCTCAGGGCAGGTTTGGTAGCCATCTCAGAGCCTGCAGGTAAGGGGCCGTCATTCTGGTCTCCTCTGTGATTCTAGAGGACAAGAGTTAGAGAGATTTGCAAGAGAGTGGAGTGAGACTGGATGTCAGCTCGCAGGGAAAGGAGAGGGATCCCGGAAGGGCTTCCCATAAGAAAGCAGAGAAACTACATCTGCTGGCCTGGAAGTTCCACCAGGAGGGCTTCAGGTGAGCCAGGCATTCTCCAGTGACTCCTTTCTGGGCTGGACCCCACCCCAATCCCGGGTCATAATGAGTCTCCTCTAGGAGGGTGGGGTTGGGTGAGAGTGGGGGTTTGGACCTGGCTGCCAGGCCGTCCTGGGCACTGCAGGAAGCAACATGACTTAGGTGGCTCTGCCCCGAGGTGAGTCTCAGGCCCCAGCTCAAAGCCCCAACTTGCCCACGCCAGTGCCCTCCTGACCCCGCCTCTCCCACCGCCCAGGCATCTCCAGGGTTGCTCCTGCAGCTGGGCTGGCCCTCTCCCCAGGTGCACCACCAGCCAGGATGCAGCAGCGACTGGAGACGGATACCATCGGGGCCGGCGAGGGGCCACAGCGGGCGGTGCCCTGGTCAGCCTGGGTCATACGGCAGGGCTGGGTGCGCTGGTGGGCATGCCACGTGCCTCGGAGCTGGGCCCAGTGGTGGAGCACGTCGGGCTGGCGGCAACCGCTGCAGCGCCTGCTGTGGGGGCTGGAGGGGATACTCTACCTGCTGCTGGCGCTGATGCTGTGCCACGCGCTCTTCACCACCGGCTCCCACCTGCTGAGCTCCCTGTGGCCTGTGGTGGCCGCGGCATGGAGCCACCTGCTGCCAGCCATCCTGCTGCTGGTGCTCAGTGCCCTGCCCACCCTGCTTTTCACCGCCTCCTTCCTGCTGCTTTTCTCCACACTGCTGAGCCTCGTGGGCCTCCTCGTCTCCATGACTCACCCAGGGCACGCTCAGGACTTGGACCAATAGAAGGGCAACCCCATCCCGCTGCTTGTGTGTGTTGAGCCCTGGCCTAGGACCTGAGGCCCCAGGGGGCAGAGGGGTAGGGGCAGTGGGACCAGGGCCTTCCTGCCTCGGCAGGTTCCAAACACCCAGTAACTAGCACAGGTGGGTGTGTGTGGTTTTGCTAGAGCAGGCACGTAGACTGGCCTGACCTCTGGGCACATTCCTCAAGCAGATACTGTCACGAGGAGCCAGGGGCTTTGAGTAGAGGGCACAGGACAGATGGCATAGCCAGGGCAGAGCTTGGCCAAGATGCCGAGGGTGCCCGTGTGGATGCAATGACACCACAGCGCCCCCTTGGCAACTGGCAGCATCGTTTTCTCTCAGCCGTCTCAGCTTCAGATTCACTGGGAACTTCTATCTGGGTGTCCTGAACGTGCCATTCCTCCCACCAATCCCCTCTTTCAGCTTCCAGGAGAGCCATAGGTTCTAGCACGGGCTCCACTGCCAGAAACCTAGCTGGGAGAGAGCTGGCCAAAGTCCCCTGAAATCGAATCGCCCTCACGTCCCAGACTAGTCAACCAAGTCTTAATCCCTTCCCTAGACTGCCTATCTCCTGACTTAGTCCGCATCCTCGAGTCTGGGGAATGGGCTGAGGGAAACGGGTCCCCTAGAGACTACCCACCTACCCTTCAGCAGCCCCAAGGTCTGTTATGGAAAAACGAACACGAAGTCCCATTTCACCCAGTGTATGCTCTTGGCCAGTTAATTCCTTTGAACCTTAGTGTTAAGTGGATCCCAACCCTGTGTCATGAGTCAAAGGTTATACCTATTTGTGAAGTACTTTGTAAAGACCAAAAAACTGTAAGATGTTGTTTTAAACTGTAAGTACATTCTGTAAGATCAAAGGGTCTTTCGATCCCAAAGGCTGTTAAAAGACCAGCAAACTTCCCTAGGCTTTCGGGGAAATGGTCTGTCATAAATAAGATTTTGGCTCTAAAATGGTAAACAGAGGATGGATGGGTGTGGAAAAGATGTGAAAGGTTGTATTCCATCAGATCTCAAAAAATGTGCAGATGTTGACCTCTTGGGATTGTGAAATGCTGGGGCCTGGGACGTGGTGTCAGGAGATGCTTGCTCAGCTGTGTGAGTGGGGAAAGCACAGCCCAGGATTTCTTTTTTTTTTTCTTTTTTTTAAAGAATTATTTAGGACTTGAACCACGGTTGGCCATGTGGGAGCAACCAGCACCGTAACCACCGTGCCACCTGCTGGTCCCCAGCCCAGGGTTTCTAAATCCGATGCAGCAAGCTGCTTACAGTACCAGAAAGGCTTTGGGAGGTGGCACCTCTTGATGCCTTGGATGGTGGCCACGTGCACATCTGCTCACCCCTCCAAACAAAACAGTGAATGAACAGTTATTACAAAATAAGGCACATGACAGACAAGTTTACCCACAGCTAAGACCCACCCACCTGACCCCCCCTCATTCCCTGACCTTCCCCAACTCCTACCCTGTCCTAATCTCAACTTTGCATCTGGCCCTAAAATCCTTGCTCGTGAAGCCCAGACCTGAGGTTTGCTCCTCCTCATTCTCAAGCCCCGAGGGCCAGCTCCTAGGATCTGGGTTCATTTTTGTCGGAAGCCATTTGCTATAGAGTTGTGTGACCCTGCTTGCCTCCAGCACCAGCGCCTGAAATCCAAGGACCACTCATTCCTTCCTGTGTCCTTGTAGTTCTCCCTGAAATATGGTAGCAAGGACAAGGCAGGACATGGAGGGGGTTGAGTTCTGTCATTAGCAAGGGCTTTGGTGTATTAGCTGAAGCCAGGTTTAAGTCTCAGCACTCGTCGCTTTCAAACTCCATGGCCTTGGTGGAAATTGCTAAACTCTCATAAAGTTTGTTTTCCTTGTAACACAAGGTGTTTTCCAGTAACACCTGCCTTAGGACTCCGTGGGGCTCCTGGCCTGCAGGTGAGGCACCTGGAGCAGTTCCGAGCATGACGAATGACAGCTATGCTCTGACTACCCACTTTAGAGAAGTCAGGCTCAAGGTGACCACTTGCCGGACCAGGCCGTTTGAGTCCTAGTCCACTGTAACAGTCCATTGTTCCCTAAAGGGAATATGAGGGGCCTGGAAGAAATATGAACCACCCAGATAAACACCCCAGGGCTTCCTCACACCTATCCTTCTTTTTTTTTTTTAAAGATAATTATTTGTTTAATTAATTTATAATTTGACCAGAGAGAGAGTGCAACCCACTAGGTCCAGGACTTGAACCACGGTTGGCCATGTAGGAGTCCTCAACCACCACACCACCTGCTGGCCCCTCCACATCAATTTTTGAGAGCTCCTGTCAGAGACAAAGCCCAGTCCTAGGGAGGCTGTGAGTGAAGCCAGTCTAGATGACTGGTTGGCTGAAGCGCCAGGATCCTAGTAGTGGGTATAGATACCACGATGTCTGGCCTAGATCCATCATTGGCTTGGCCATGCATTACTGGCCAGGGACATTGCTCTGGAGCCTTGAGGCCATTTAATTGAGGAACAGAGGAGGTTCTGGCTCAGACCAGATGTACCAGATGTCCATCCAGACGGCCAGGATGCTGGCAGGAGCAAGAAGGCCTCCTTTGCTTCCCTACAGAAATACCTTCCACCCTCTTGCTTTGCTGATACGGGGTAAGGTGAGGTAGCCAGACCGGAAAGCAGAAGGGCAGTACTTAGCCAGATTAGACCAACACATACCCAGTGACCCAGCAACCCAAAATGAATTCTCAGAGATCCATAAGGGCCTTGCTTCTCAAAGTGGGGTCCTAGAACCATCAGAATAGGATTCCCGGGGACCGGCAGCTAGTGACGTGGCTGAGGCACTGGACATTCCCATATGGCTGACTACAGTTTGAGTACCAGACCTGGTGGCTGGCTTTTCTCACTTTTCCAATTTCTCTCTCTGTGTGTCTTTCTCTGGTCAAATTAAAATAAGTGAATGAACAAATACAATTAAATTAATCTTAAAAAAGGCAAGAAAAGAATAGGTTTTCCCTGGGAGGTGGTTAGAAATGCAGAGTCTCGGGCCCTGTCCCAGACTGCTGAGTCAGAGCCTGCATTTCAACAAGATACCCAGGTGAGGTGTGTGCACTGGCGTTTTAGAAGCGCTGCATAACAGGATATGTTTGAGCAGGTCATTACACTGTTCTTGGTGGGATCGGGCGAATGGGAAGAGCCAACTTGGCAGGTGAGTGTCCTGGAGAAAAAGTAGCAGGAGGGTCAGACACTGATGAATCAATCTGCAAATCCTAGCACTGGGAGGAAGGAAACTGAGTGAAAAATAATACAGTTCTTTTTACACAAATTTAAAATGCATGCCAGCAAAACAAGAACGTGTAAAAAAAAAAAAAGATAAATGGAATGAAATGGACAACTCTAGGAGTAGGCAAATGGGAGGGAGATAGAGATAGAGGGGAATAAAGCCAAGGATCTTGCAGAGACAAAAAAAAAATGATAGTCAACATAATTCCTGAAGTTCCTTTAAAGACCAAATAATCCACTCAGTTAAAACGCAAGCCCTAGGAGAGCGGACATGCTAGAAGGAAGACGTGCTAAGCCTTTTCTGTGTGGGCCAGCAAGGGAGCGCTTGTTGCATTGAGTAGCTGGTGCTACTTTTGCCTGCCCTCCCCTACTCTACCCTGCAGCCAGCTCTGAGGTGGCTGGAGCTGCCAGGGATCCATCAACCCACTTGGCCTGACCAGAAACATAATCAAGTCAGGGGGTGGGGGATCTGGAGCCTAGCAGAGTAGGCTCAGTAGCTAGAGGCCTTGCATCTAAGTAGAGGGGACCCACAGTGGCACACACTGGGGGGTTCCTAGGAGCAGGGATGCCCAGTAGGATTTCCCTCCATCCCAAGAAACCCTGAGCAGAGAAGGAGCAGGTGGGATGTAAGAGGACTCAAGAGGGTGGCACCAGGGGGTGCCTGCTGGTGGTGGGAACCCCTGGAGATGGTGCCTCAGTGAAGACCTGGGCTGTGTGTGACAGAGGTTGTGGGCCAGGAGGAAGCCTTGTGGCTCTTGGGGGCCTTCGAGGCCCAGTTGTGGAAGCTGGGAGAGGGCACTCTCCCCCAGACTCAGGGGTGCAGAGCAAGGGGAAGCTATGCTGGGGCTATGCAAGGCTGGGGGTCGGGGAGCAGCTCATGGGCCTAGCGGCCCCTGGCCACATCGGAGGAGATGAGGCCATCCCGGAGGAGATGAGGCCATCCCGGAGATGAGGCAGCCTGCGAGCACCCGCAGAGGCAGGAGCCCACAGGGGAGAGAGGGGCCACCGAGGCTGCGGGAGTGCCTAGTATTATGAGACTGGACAGCGCTGTGGAGGGGTGGGTGTGTGGGGAGCACTGTGCTCTCCCCTTTCCAGTCTCAGGTGCGCGGGAGAGGGGAGGACGACTGCTGGAGGGTGTTGAGGGGAAAGCTTTGCCCATGGGACAGAAGGGGTCGGGCGAGGGCCTGAGGCTGGGAGGGAAATCCCTGCCCAGCCCGGATCGGGAAGCAGTGAGCATCCACACCGAAGAGGCGCCAGAGGTCTCGAAGCTTTGACCACAATCCCAGGTATGGACGGAGCGATCAACGGTGCAAAGCTCGCCCCCTGGCGGAGATCTTCGGTTCTGGCAACAAGAAATTGGACATGGCTGGAGAGAGGGTAAGAGCAGGGGAGGAGGGAAGGAAGGAGCAAATCCCTCCGGTTTGAACACCACCACTGGGTCGAGAAGGCAGGGCCTGAGACCACAGAGGCGTCTCGGGCCTACCATCGTCATAGTGGCAGCTGTGTTGACTCCTTACCTCTTACCCCAGTTTCCGGCCTGGGTCTCCCAGCCAGGGCCCCAGATGCGCCAATGGCAGAGATCAGGAGAATCGTGAAGAAAGGCTGGACTCTATCTCGAACTCCTGGCCCAGCCCGGCTCTCATACCCCACTGCCCTTGGGGAAATAAGTTTTGTGGGTTTTTTTTTTTGACATTCGGTCAGGATCTGGATACAACCACCTTTGAACAAGTAATTTTCTTCTGGTGAACAAACAATTAATTCCACCTGTATTCTGGAATATGCTTCCTTATACCACCAATTCTTTCAAGTATTTTCTATCTTGAAAAATAAAAAAAATTTGATTTAAAATTTGTTTCTACCATTATTTTCTGTCTTCACATATTTAACCTCCAAAGTACCCACTTTAAAAATTGTTATGTGGGGCCAGCAGGTAGTGTAGCAGTTACATTGCTGGACTTCCATACAGCCAGCTGCAGTTCATGTCCTGGACCTGGTTTGAAACTCGCGCTGGACACAAGCACATGTGTGCCCAAGATCCGGGGAGGGGAATGGAGGAGAAAAATTGCAGGGTCGCCATCCCCCCATGGGGTGCTTTCTACTGTCTCTCTCTCCAGTGAGCACATGCACCTTAAGGCAAAAACCTCTAATTAAAAAAAAAAAAAAAATTAGGGAGCCAGGAAGTGGCATGGTGATTAAAGATGCTGCATTCCAACATGGCCGACTGAGGTTCAAGTCCCAGACCTGGTGGCTTGCTTTCTCACTTTCCCTTTCTCTCTCTCTCTCTCTGGTCAAATTAAAAAATAATAATAACAAATGAAAATAGTTCTTAAAAAAACAAATTGGAACTAGCAGATAGCATAATAGTTACATTGCTGGACCCCCACGTAGTCAACCACGATTCGAGTTCCAGATCAAGTGGCTTAAACCTCAGGTGGGGGGGTATGTATGCATGCATGCCCAAGATTCAGAGAGGAAAATGAAGGGATTGCAGCGTGGCCATCCCCCCAGGGGGTGGTTTCTTACTTTCTGTCTCTTGTCTCTGTCTGTCCAGTGAGCAGATGTGCCCTATAGCAAAAATATCTCTAAAAAAACCCAAAATTGATATGTGATATTATATAGCTGCAAAATATTTGCAATATATATGAAAATTATGAAACTCTCTAAATCAAAGGAGGCTATATCAATCTAGAAGACATGATCATGATGCTGCCTCTTCCTAGGTGTGCCTTACTATAAGCTGGACTCCCAATGTATAGGAATTGCTGTTCATTGGCACGTTCAACTTCATTTTTTTTCTTTCCAAAGCATTTATTTATTTATCTATTTATCTATTTTGCCATAGGGCGCATGGATTCAATGGAGAGACAGTGAGAGGGAATGTGAGAAGTTACCCCTGGGGGGCTGACCATGCTGTAATTCCTTTTTCTTCTGGACAAACTTCATTTTTTTTTTTTTTTACAGAAGTACTGTATTTCATCTTATTCATCATTATTTTTAAAATCTGAGCAGAGAGAGACAGAGAGAAAGAGAGAGAAAATGAGAAAGCAAGCTGCCAGGTCCAGGACTCAAACTGCAGTCAGCTATGTGGGAGTCCAGTGCCTTAACCACCATGCCACCTGCTGGCCCCTTAACTTGATTTTAATTTAAAATAAATTGTTTCCACTATTAAGAGTTCTGCAGATTGGGGGCCAGCTGGTTAAGGCTAGACTCCCATGTGGCTGACTGTAGTTTGAGTCTTGGACCTGGAGGCTTAAAAATAATGCTGGGTGCATGTGTGTGGGTTCCCCAAATCCTAAGAGAATAGAAGAGAAGGGATTGTGGTGTGCCCATGCTCCCAGTGGGTGATTTCTCACTTTCCTTCTTCAGTGTGCTCTCTGTCTATCAAGAGAGCTCATGCACCCTATAACAAACTTAAAAAAAAAAAAAAACACATTATGCAGATTACTGTAGTTCTTGGTAGTTAACCTTTAACCAGCTAAGGAAATTCCTTAATGGCTACTAAATTCATTAATGGCTACTAAAACTGCTTTTTCTGCATTTATTATGAGAACTGATTGGTTGTTCTGCTTTATTCTTTTTATTTGGTGTCTGTCTCTGAAAAACGCATGTGCCTTCTAGCACACATGAAAAAGAAAAAAATGAAAACTGACTTGCAGTAACATGTGCCCGAGATCCTGGGAGGAAAAGAAAGCAGATACCAATGGTTGGGATAGCAAGAAGGGGGTTGTGAGGAAGTTGTGGAGAGGGCTGAGAAGGAGGAATTATAAAGAATTCATAGAAGCATAACTTTGGTGGGACCAGCAGTTAGCGTAATGGCTATGTCGCTGGACTCCCATGTAGTCAACCGCAGTTAGCGTCCCGGACCCGGTGGCTTAAAATTCATGCCGGGCGCGTGTGTGTGCGTGCCCAAAATCCCAAGAGGAGAACGGAGGAGAAGGGATTGCAGCGTGGCCATTCCCCCTGGGGGGTGATTTCTCGCTTTCTGTCTGTCTCTGTCTGGTGAGCGCAGGAGCCCTATAACAAAAACCTCTAAAAAAAAAAAGGAAGCATAGCATAACTTTGGTTATGTTAATTGTGATGACAGTCTCACAGATTTATACACATCAGATTGCACTCTAAATATGTGCAGTTAAGGGCCAGCTGGCATGGTGGTTGGGGCAGCTGGATCTCACATGGCCAAGTGCATGGTTTGAGTCCTAGACCTGGCAGCTTGAGAAACATGCTGGGCACATGTACATGTGTGGCCAAAATCCCAAGAGGAGAATGGAGAAGGGACTGCATTATAGCCATTCCCCCAGGGACTGCTCTCTCACTCTCTGTCTCTCTCCAGTATGTACATGGCAAACTTTTTTAAAAAGTAAGTTAAAAAGTGAAGTTTAGGGGTTGGCAGGTGGCGTGGTAGTTAAGGGCGCTGGACTCCTACATTACTGACCATGGTTTGAGTCCCGGACCTAGTGGCTTGCTTTCTTACATTCCCTCTCTCTCTTTCTCACTCTGTCCTTCTCTGGTCACATTTAAATAAATAAATACATAAATAAAGTCAAATAAAAAAAATATATATTTTTAAAGCTAGTTTATCAGGACCAGCAGATGATGTAGCAGTTATGTCACTAGACTCCCACACTGTTGACTGTGGTTTGGGTCTCAGACCAGGTGGCTTGAAAATCAAACCAGGCATGTGTGCATGCGTGCCCAAGATCCTGGGAAGAGAATGGGGAAGGGACTATGGCATAGCCATCCGCCCTAAGGGGTGATTTCTCACTTTCCCCCCCACAGTCTCTCTCTCTGATAAGCGCATGTGCGCTAAGGCAAACATCTCTTTTAAAAAAAAGTACAGTTTATCATATGTCAATTATGACTTCATTAAAGTAGGCTCATTTTTAATTTTTAAATAATTTTAAAATTTATTCATATTTAATTTTAAAATAATTTTAAAAATGTATTATTATTATTTAATTTGTTATATTGCACATCCGAGAGAGAGAGAGAGAGAGAGAACAGCTGCAATCTCTGGGAATCAAACTGTGGTCGGCCATATGGGAGTCCAATGCCCCAACCACCACTGGCCCCAAAGCAGGTTCATTTTTAAAACAAAAGAGGGTGAGCCGCAGTGCCACAGTGGTAATGCAGCATTCAGCCATGCAAAGCCAAATGGAAAGGCCCTGGGGTTTGCATGCACAGGTGTCTGGTACTGGCCGGCTAAGGCTGGAAGTGGATCGCTACATGAAGACCCTGCTGGCAGTGTCTGTTTCTCTTTCTCAAACTTAAAAAAAATTTTTCCCCCAAGAAATAGGGGCCACATGGTAGTGCAGTGGTGGGAATGTGACACTGTGAGGCAGACCCACACTGAGAGTTTGCTGATTCGGGGCCAGGGACCTCCCTGAGTGAATTGGGTGTGTGTGTGTGCCCATAACCCAAGCTGGCTGAATCTGGGGGTGTGAATTATGGTGTTGGGGTCCTGATGAGGTGCACGCTCTCTCTTATGGAATAATTTTTTTTAAACTGAAAGAAGAAAAGAGGTCATTTCCTTGCAATCAAAAAAAATTTATCTTCTGGGGCCAGCAGGTGGTATAGTGGTTAAGGGCACTGGACTATCACATGGTTGACTGTGGTTCAAGTCCTAGACCTGGCAGCTTGCTTTCTCTCTCTCTCTCTTTCTGTCTCTCTCTAGTCAAATTAAAATAAACAAACAAATAGTTAAATAAAATAATTCTTTAAAACATTATCCTTAATGTACACATTTAGATGTAAACTGTGAACTGAACATCTAAGCAAGAGTCTGTATAACACAAGGGAAGTTATCTTTGGTTGGAAAACTTCCAGTTCAAATAAAATGTTTGAAGGAAAATTCCAATAGTTTTTTTATAAAGAAAAAAAAAATTCCCAGGAAAATAAAGATTGACTTCACAATTGGAGTGCTTATGCATCTTTTATTCCTTTTGGGAATATCTCTAATATAGCAAAGAATGGATACTGGGTCCATTCTTTAAAAACCAAGATTCCATGAATAAGAAAGTCATTCATTGTTAAGATTGTCTTAACGCTTTGCCAATGGGCAAATACTAATGATTTTCAAGACAATACATTTTTAGTTCTGTCCTTCTTAGCAGCAAGTAGTGGGCCTTAATGCTGGTGCGACAGAAGACTTTGACTTTCACATCTCAAAGGCCAGGAAACCATTTAAATTCAAGTGGACACTTGTATCAGGCTATTCTTAAGTTTCTTGTTTCCCAATCATGACTTAGTAGAGGAATCAAAAAAATTTTTTTAAAGAATTATTTATTCTGGGACCAGCAGTTGGCATAATGGCTATGTCACTGGACTCCCATGTGGTCGACCGTGGTTCAAGTCCCGGAAATGGTGGCTTAGACTCATGCAGGGCGCATGTGCATGCATGCCCAAGATCCCGAGAGGAGAAAGGAGGAGAAGGGATTGCAGTGTGGCCATCACCCCTGGGAGGTGATTTCTCGCTTTCTGTCTCTCTTTCTGGTGAGTGCACATACACTATAGCAAAAATCTCTCAAAAAAAATGATTTATTCTATTTAAATTTATTTATTTATTTTTAATTTGATGAGCGAGAGAAAGAGAGAGAGAAAAAAAGCCACTAGATCTGGGACTCTAACTGTAATAAGCCATGTATGAGTCCAGTGCTCTCAATCACCATTCCACCTGCTGGCCCCAGAGGAATAAAAAATTTTAAAGTGTTTTATACCATACATTTATGTGATCATTAACAGAAAATAATGTATGTCCTTTATTCTAGTGATAAATTTCAATGTAATGCTGTTTTTGCAAATTATGCAGAATATAATGCAGTTTTCAGGATGACAGGTGTTGGGGCACTCAAGAAAAGGTTTTGAAATCTCACTTTCAGTGATGTGAGCCACAGAGCAAAATAGGGTAGAAATGAAAAAGACACAGGTAGTGGGGCCAGCAGGTGGTGTAGTGGTTAAGGCACTGGGCTTCCATGTTGTCGATTGTTGTTCAAGTCCTGGATCTGGTGGCTTGAAACTCACGCTAAGCACATGTGCATGCATGCCCAAAATCCCAAGAGGAAAATGGAGGAGAGGGGACTGTGACATGCCCCGCCACCAGAGGTGATTTCTTGCTTTCTGTTTCTCGGTCTCTGTGGCAAGCTTACATGCCCTATAACAAAAATCTCTCAAAGAAAGAAAAGAGTATCTAAAAGATAGAGGTGGAATGACAAGGGTATTAAGCATATTCAACAGTCCCAAAGCTGCCTACAGACAGGGTTCTAGAACTGGGGTGGGGTCTGAAGCAAGCAGGAAAGCCTTGGAAAAGCTCAGTAGAGAAAGTGATAGGGAATTCTTGGAAGAACACGCTGGCAGCAGCAGAGTGCCCAGTGGGGCTGGAGAACTATTACTTTTTGCTTCAAATCAGTCCAGGTATACCATTTTTTCAGGCAATACTGAGAAGCCTCAAAATCAGAGATTTGAATATCTCATCAAAGAAGAAGATTTTAAAAAGAAAAGACAAAAAGGAATGACAAGATTGGGAAAACTGGATGCAGCTGAATAGGATTGCTCTAAAGATTCCTGTTTTTGTTTTTGAAGAATTATTTTATTGACGTTTATTATTTATTTTAATTTGACCAGAGAGGGACAGAGAGGGATGGAGTTAGAAAGCAAACTGCCAGGTTTGAGACTTGAACCACAGTCGGCTCTGTGGGAGTCCAGTGCCCTTAACCACACCACTTGCCAGCCCCTCCTGTTTTTGTTAATAAAGGAAAATAAATTGTTGCAAAAAGAGGTTATTTAAAATCTTATCTTCATAAAAGCTTTGTTTTGTTTGTCCCCTTCCAAAGGAAACCAAACTTTTTTGTTTCAGGCACTGTGCTGGTGCCTTTGCAAAGTTTACTGGACTCTGCTAAAGGGTTTTATTAACTCACATTGTCTCGGTTTCCTCAGCACCACTGTGTGTTGATTTAACAGTTTGCTTTGATTTGCATTTAGTGTAGTAGCTTGCTAGCAAAGATCAACACTTTTCTGATCTGTTATTTCAATCTCCTTTTGTGTGAGACTGTTACTCCTTCGCCAAGGTAAAATTTCATTACCAAGTATGGAAAGAAGACACAAGAATTTTGCCTGCCTCTCTCCCATTCATTTGCTTCAAGATGATTTAAAGCGCCTTCATGTTGCCTTATTTTTCTGCCCCTGTTATCAGTTAGCAGCCCACTGCCATGCTCCTTCGCCCGACCCTACCCTACACGTTAGCCTTTACTCCACGGCTGATGTTCTCTGTAGGGGCATCATGTGTCAGAGTCAGGATCCAAAACCTCTTCTGCTTTTCCTCACTTCTGTATGGAGCCTTTACTGTAGCCTCTCTACCCTTCCCCTCCAGCCCAGTACTCACTCTGGATTTCTTCTCCTTTGTCTCTTCTGTCTCTCTGCATCACCAAATAAGCTGGTCTCTTTTAGCTTTGCTCCCATCATACATAATATAAATGATACAATGGGTTTCTAATTGTCTCACATGTGGGCTTGGATGCTTCTGATTAGTTCCAATCACTGAGTATCTACTATGTGCCGAAAATGACGCGTCTATCTCCAGAGTGGATGAACAGTGCGTGTACACTTGAATGCACGAGACTGGAAGGTATAGATAAGAACTAGTCAGATAAAATTCTACATAAAATTCCACAACTGCACGTCAGCCCTTAATTCTTCTCAGTCCCAAAGACTGGCCAACAACTGGGCACCCCTCTGGGATCTTTGTCACATACACATGTTCTAGTGAGGGCAGAAACGCGTGTGAGAGACAGCAGAGGGCCACAGGCAATGATTTTTTAAAGTGTGGAACCAAAGGCCCCAGGCTAGAGAGAGCTCAGAGGCAACTTCTCCAACTCTCAAGATCATGGTTTGGGAGATTCACTCCTTCACACAAGAATATGTCATTCTGTTCTTCTGTGCCTTTATTGGTGACAGCAATGGATAAGGACAATGCCAGGCATGGCAAATACCCTGGCCCACCATCTGGGGTGCAGGCCCAAGCCCTGTAAAGCCATTAGCACATCCAGCCCTAGCCCGAGATCCAGTCTAACCAGGCCATGTGCCTGAATGGGCAGGAGGCCGCCTGTCCAGTTTGTATGTGTGGATCAGTCTGTCTGAGTGTCTGAGCCGCTGCTTATTACAGGGTCCCCCCATCCTTGGCACATGGTACGGGCTGCTGGGAACACAGCGTGGTATCCCCCGGTGGACCACTGGGCCCCGGTGCTGACCATGGGGGATAGGGCCAGGGCCTGGAGGTGGCAGAGGGCCAGGCACAAAGTTCACTCCAGGGCCACATCCTACAAAAGAACCAGTCATGGTCAGAGTGGGCTCCTGGCCAGGGTGAGAGCAGCTCTGCCTTCAGGCAGAGGGAGCCTGGGAGGAGTTTCTCTGGGTTTCAGTTTCCCCCTCTGCAAAACAGCATATCACTTCCCCTACCTTCAGACCAGGAAATAATGATCAACAAGGGGACTGACGAGTCTACAGATGCTGTTCCAGACTCAGGGACTGCCGGGACTAAACTCAATCTCAGGAGTACCAGGGACAACCCAACTCCTCTCAGCTTACCTGGGCATAGGGGGCAGGGAGCGGGAAGGGAAGGCTGGGAGAGGTACCTACCTAAGTGGGATGGCACTGAGAAGTCCTCCACTGGATTGTAATTGAAGAATTCAGGGGGTGGGAAGGGCTGGCTTGGGAAAAAAGGGGCATCCTGGGGCAGGGGTGGAAAGAGGGGAGGTGGGGAGGGTTGAGGAAGGGGATAGGGAAAAGCCATGGGAGGGGGTATGGGAGACGGTGGGGGTGGCGGCAAGGCCAGCTGTTCCCCAAAGTCTGGAGACTGCCCATGGCCTCCCTGGAACTGATGATCCATCTCTGGCCAGTCCTCAATCCACGGGTCTAGGAATGGGATGATGGTTTTAGTAGGCCTGGGGGCCAGGCTGCCCTGGTTCTGGCTGTCTACACTTTCAAAGCTCTACTCCCTCCTCCTGGAAAACAGCCTCTCCCCTTGTGGTAGGGCTCACCAGTGGGATGGTCTCGCTTGGGCAGCTCCACGCCCCAGGCGTCTGCCACGTGGGTCAGAAGCAGGTGGGAGAGGTGGCGGTGTGCATGTTGGTCCCAGTGGACACCGTCTCGATGACGGTGCTGTACTGCATGCCGGAAGTGAAAGTGGAGGTCCAAGACATCAAAGCAGTGGCCCCCAGCCAGTGTAGCACTGTAGAAGTTCCCTTCAACCACATCACGCCGCAGAGTACCCGCCAGGGGCTGGAGCTAGTGAGAAAGTGCAGCCTCTGAGCAACACGGAGTGAGGCAGGGTGGGGAAGGAGCATCCCCAATCTACTAGTCAGCTGCCTCCCACCCTGTCCTGAGTGGTCACTTGCCTCTGGCAGGAGGAACCCTCCGGTGACACGCTCCCCCAAGGGCATTGCCATGTTCCACACCAGCAGGCAGGAGTCTGGCAACACTTGGTCCATGCGCACGAACACTCGCTCCAGGTTCTCTCGGTAGCTCTCCATTGAAAAGCGGCCATACCTGTTGGGTAACGCACAAAGTGGGCAAGAGCACAGGGGTAAAAACCTCTGAGCCATACCTCCACCCTCAATCAGTCTGTCCCTTTCCCCCGCCCCAACCTGGAGAGATCCCAGAGGCAGGAGTTGATGATCACCAGGTCCGGGGCAGGCCCATATGTCAGCTCCTCCAAGATGCCCTCGAGGTACTCGGAGTAAACGCGGGTGAGGAAGTAGAAGCGCACAAGGTGGTGGCCAGAACCCGAGCAGAACTGGCGGACCTCACGGTACTGCGTCCCGTTGTGCAGCTCACCCAGCTGGCCCCCAGCCACCAGTTGGTCCTGTTCAAAGCTCAGCTCCCCCTGTCCCGCCCCCCCACAACCCACTGGTCAGACCCATGCCAGGGAGGAGGACCCTGCCAGGGTCCACACTCGCCCACCACTGGCATACCTGCCGAGCTTCCCTCACCTTGGCTTTCAGCTGAGCAGCTGTGAGCAGCGAGTCTTTCTGGAGCAGGAGCACCAGGTCCTTGTACACAGACCTCTGGACTGTGGAGACAGAGATCCCAAGCTGAGGCAGACCTCACTTCACCCCAGCTCCTTCCAAGCCCAGGCCTCCCATCTTCCCAGGGCCAGGCTGTCCCATACCAGCTCTGTGGAGGATTGACTCAGAGACAGGAGAAAAGGTGAGGTTAAAAAGCCCTGATGCTCCCTCTGTTCCTTCTGGCTGTGCCCACTCCCCTCCCCTTACTGCCAGCTTAGTATACAGTCACTCACGATCACCAGGCTGAGATTAAGTGGACCAAGGAACCCAAGATACACACAACACAGCCCCCTACTCCCATGAGGGAGATTCCAGGGGACTGTCAGGGAGAGAAATGCTGAACGAGGATGGGCTAGAAGGTGCACAGGTTGTATCTGTCAAGACACCTGTGGAAGGTATACGGGGAAAAGAAAGAAAAGCCGACTACATTAGAACACACTAAGGGGCAGAAGAGATCTGAGAGGGAGACGAAGGGCCCAGACACAGAACACGCTGCAGGTGCGGGACTGAGAAGTGTCTTTCAGGAGGGGCACTCACTGGAGTCCCCCAAGATGACCACGAACTTGTTGTGAAGCAGCTGCTGGACTTCCGAGGCCTGGAAGTGGACCATGGTGCTTCGAAGCGGGAGGTGCAGCTCCTCGTTCTCCAGACAGAAGACCATGCTGCCACCGAAGATGGGCTATAGGATGAGGCCACTAAGTAGCTCGAAGGCGGGGACTCTGGGCAGGTCGGCCCCAGGGACCGCCCCTGGGTAAATGAGACGTGAGCCAGCCCCTCCCAAGCTGTTCACAGGTACCCATGGTGGCACCAGCCTTGGTCACACTTGGTACCGAGGCAGGGGGTCGCCGAGCCCGCGAGCCCCTC